GGGTGCGGTAAAGGGGTGTGTGGACGAACCCAGAAAACAGACAACGTTAAACTGTCTTAACATTGCATCAGGTGAAAAGAACCAACAGACAGTGACATTTTAATGTATTTTAAAAGTACACATTTAGCCTCTTAGTACAGTTTGTAAAGAAGGAGTTGAGAGCGGGCGGGTGGGTCAAATCGATATATTATATTTTAGTTCGTGCTTGCTTGCCAATGCCATTCATTCTGCACTAGATTCTGTAGCCTGAAGCTTGCCTGTTACGAAGTGAGCGTACGGCCTACTTGCCAAATTGATATATTCTCAGACCCTTATGGCATATATATCATAAAGAAGAACAAGCTAGGTTCTCAAACAAACAACACAGAAGTGACAGAGGTGATTTCAGTTTTGGAAAGCATTTTCTTTTTGGTTTTTGAGAGTTCCGTTATCCATATTCCTTTAGTCAGTCAGTCTTGGGCCTAATCTTTCGCAAACGTTAGCCTCCTGGCTTATGGAGCCAGACATTTAAATTACTATTAAGCCTTACGAAACCTGGCACGCACTTTGAAGAACTTGGAACGAGTTGGCCGCTGGGTTACCGACCGAGCAGATCTAGGCCGACCGAGTTCTACCGAACTACCGACCGAGTCGACAGTCGACATAGTTCCGGAGTTCGCGAGAGGTAAACACGGAACACTGGTGAGCACTGTCGAAAGGTTTCTTCATAAAAATTCTGATTGCGCATTTTAATTTCAGGAAGCCCATTTCTTGTTGTGTTATATTTTTAAGAATGTTTGCGCTGCTTTGTTTCACATTCCAGTTTCACTGCCTACAGTTATAGTGTCTGTAATTTAGAGTTTTGAGCTTTGGAATCGGTGCCAGAACTTGTCTGAAGTTCTGAACTTTTTTTAGAACTGATGATGGCGGAGAACGTGAGAAAGTGATAGGAACCGTGCCACTGTTGATTCGGAATAGGAATAACGGTCATAAATTGTTCTCTTGTGTAGTTTCTTTAGTCAAAAGTAGACTTTTCCTACTTTGCTGGATAGTTTTCAGTTTTTAGATCAAGATCTTGGTAGATTTCAGTCAAGACAAACTCACTTCGTAAGGGCAAACTTGTCCTGAATGAATGAATTGAATGATTGTAGTGAAGTTATCTGTTCCAAATCAGTTGAAATAGTGGAAAAAAAGGTGATCTTGTAGTTCCGTTCGTTAAAGTCCACGATCCATTTGTTTACATCCAGAGAAGAAATCCAGAAGTCTTGAAGACCAAATACTATTTGAATTAGGCTACACAAAGAGCAGGGGTGCAACCTAACTGCAAAACATCAAATTATTTTTTTTAGGTCAGGGGGGCAAGCCACCCTGAAACCCCCCTACTCTTGACTTTAACGAACAAAACTACAAAATCACAAAATCGCCTTAAAAAAATCTTTATAGGATTTCAGGCCATGGAAGATGCTGAGGAGAACATTTATTTAGTCCTTTTGTAAATTCTGAGTTTGAGAGCCCAACCCAAATCTGTAAGAGCCAGCAAACCTTTATCAGAGTGTATTTTGTTGACCATAATTTAGGAAACATTGTAAATTTTGAATTAAATAATTGTATAAAATATAAATATAATTGCAATTAGGATAAGTCATCCTATTATCATTCATATGTGTGCTTTTTATGGTGTGTACATTGTCAACTTTTTATTTGTGATTGATAATTTTCCCAAGTCTTGTGGGATTGAGTGATTGAGTTACGTAGCATAAATTGCTCAGTTCATCAAAAAATATCCCCGGTAAATTTTTACTTTCACTCCCGCACACAGATGCACTGTTTCAGGGGTCAAACTGCAGTACTGTTTGCTGCAGATCACACATAAAGCCACTAAAACTGCCGCAAATCGATTATTTTCAAGACAATTTCAAATCTAATTGTAAAATATCAAATAATGTGTAAAAACAGGGGGGGCATCATGTGTAACCCCCCAGATTTTCTTTTACCCCAGGTGGGCAGGCCCCCCTGGAACCCCCTGATTGGTCCAAAGCACGTCTATCTCGGTTAAAAACAATCAAATATTTCAAAAACTATTAATTTGCGATGGAAATGAAGTTGATATTCGTGTTCAGCGCATCAATGTTTAGTAGAAAATAAACATCTGGTAGCTGAGTGTGAGACGGGAGGGAAAGTAAAAAAATACCATATCCCCC